AAGCTTATTATGCGAAATTATTGCTTTTGCCTCTAAATAGGAGTTGTGACACAAGCGAGATATTGAAATGTCTCCCAAATGTCCGGTGTCTTCCTAAGGTATAACTTATGACGAAAACATGTCTCCTTAAGGGTACATTAACAGCAATTATGCTTCCTATACAATGATTACATAACTTTATATGATATTTGAAAAAGAAAAAAAATCTATATTAAGGAATTGAGGAATCCTTGGTTCCATTACCAATTAAAGGCGAGTGTTAAGAGAATGCGCGGGTGGCTCGAAATCGCGCCTTGTTACCGCAAAATACTAGTTGAAAAGATAATTCAAAACAACAAACAACTATTCCTTGATAAGTTGCCGTTTTCGTGTGTACGCGGGAAGGAATTTTGGGTACAAAAGTTTGGTCCGCAAAAATCGAGCCGTTGGATGGAGCGCTAGCGTCGGACGAACGTGATATCAAACAGTGACTTACGTGGTAATTGCAGTTTATGCGGCGCCAGTCTTATGTAAACAGTTTTGTTCTATTTTTGTTTACACATTTCTTTGTAAATGCAAGACATTATGAAGATCTTTACCAAGATCTTTGAAATAGGACCAGCTAACGATTTCCCGACAAAAAGTCACATTTAACACCATTCAATAGTAATGTTTTATTTGTATATTCCTGCGCTATTACAGCGCATGCGTTTAGTCGTGCAAACTTGAGGTGAAGAATAGAGCATTCACAAGCATGCGCTTTCCTTTCACATTGTTCAGGTGTTATAATAATTAAGCAACTGAGTGTTCTTATTCTTTTAGTGTACTGAGTGTAAAGTCAAAACAAGAATAGAAGTCCGAATTCCGGATCCACTTCACACCGGGATTAAATTCAAACTGTTTCCAGAATTAAGAAAAAAAAGTTGTGCAGCTGTAGCCTTTGGTTTCATTTTCAGCCACCGGTCGAGCCATGAGCCTTTTAAATCTCACAGCCTAACCAATTACAGCACCTAGGGGTTCAAATTGACCGAATTATTCCATCAATAATCCACTATACAGTTACACCCACTGAGACTGTCAATTATCGGTTGTTATGAACTATCCATTGGGCTCAATATTCACAAGTCGTGCCAATTCGTCTTCAGCCCTTTTTGTTTTTATAATATAGCCAAGTCTGTCACTGTAGCTGAAGGTAATCATTCTGCGAGATCACCCGTAGATCCCGTAGTAAGTGATTGGATGTGTGGAATGGGTATAACATGAAGGGGCGTGACCGACCCCACACGTACGTACACATGAGCATATAACTGAAATATAATATATTGAGTTTAAAGTGTTTGGTGCAGGGCACGTTTACATTAGGTTAATCTTTGTGTTCTTAAAAAAGATTTTGTCACACAAGCATTTTTTCCAGATAACAATAACAATTGATTTTTTCTTCTTCAAAATCTGCCCCACTTAGGGCACTGTAAAATGATGACGGTTTGGAAAAATTCCAATTTACAAGAACAATTATCTAACGGAGAATAAAATGTGGAAACAATTTCATTGTCGTCAAATATTTGTCGGAATGTTCCAAAATCCCGACCTTGAGACATTCCTGTCTGGTACTCCGCTCTGCGGGGGTGCAGACGTTTGCCTATATTGCTATAGTCATCCGGTGAATTGTTGATGTATTTCTTGTCACAACACATGGCAACAATAGGCTTTGTGTGCAATAATAACTGCAGATGATTGATAGGTATCCGTCAAGCGGGCGAATGGCGTTGACCATGAACTTGGTCTTGGAGTGATATTATAGCGAAGGTTTGGGAGAATTGTTCAAAATGGAAATTGGTCCATATTGCAGCCGTGCCTAAATTTCACATTTTAAAGAAGGTCTGTCGTTTAAAATCAAGACAGGCGAAATTCGATCTTTTTCATCCCCAATTTTAATTCTATGATACATTTCCTGTCAGAAAAAAAATCAAAGCACATTCCTGGGATGCTTCATTTTGAAAATGTAACACTGCTCGTCGGTAAATTTTTCCATGTAGGCCCAAATATTCCATAACTAAACGTAGGCGGATTTTTTGTTTGATGTCCTATTTAAAAGTCAACGTTTTGTACGGCTATAGAAAAAATATATATATATTTTTTTAACATAAGAAGTGATATGTACGTATGTTTTAGGTAAGCTTTCGCTTGCTGATTTTGCAAGCTTCCTCAGATCACACAAGATCTGTGTTTCGACTTCGAGATAAAACTCTAAAATAACACAGGGATAGCAGCTTTAAGTGGAGAGACCATGACTACATTTATCTTCCCGTGAAATCGAATCGTTTTGTTTGTGTTCTCTAGCAGGATTTACGCGTAACTGAATGGCTGTTTGAGAGTATAGCAAGTAAGTGACTGTTAGAAAATTGAGGATATACCTTTAACATTAATGGTAAATACAGTAGTTGATGCACAATCGACTCACGTAATGACAAGATGTGCTGTTAAGATGTTTTCAACTATCTGTAGACTCGTTCCCTATCGCGCCTTTATCATTCCTCATTAAAACAAATATTTGGGAAGTGACCCGCAGTCTACTCTGAACGTCGCTAATGGTCCGTTAGTGTTCCCTGTGTTTCTATATTTCTGCTGAACAATACGGAACACTTTGTCCAAGGCAAAGCTTCAATAGATCAAGACATACATTTTGATTCATACACAGCCGAACTTGTTTCGTTAGGAGACAATGAGTTACATTAGCCAGGGCAAACATAAATGTTCAATAACATGGCATTATGAAACCATTGGTGTCAATATCCCAGTCCCTGAACTGCGTGAAAATATTGGGTCTTTGGTTTGAACTTTGAAAATAAAATAGATAGGCATACTCGAAGAATTAAAATAAGTGTAAATGTGACACTAAGGTACATTTCAAAGGTTTCATTTGAAAATTTCTATTTATATGGCCCCTGTAAGGTGCCTCAACTTGACTAAGATTCTGCCCTTTGACGGCAGAAATGTGAGATGCCTTCTACTTGTTGATAGAGTTGACTGATCATAAAACAAACATTGACAAGGGTATCGCGGCGGTCGAGTCTCTTGTTTCATAGGAAGACACATTTTGCCGAAAATTAAAATTCAACAAGCGGACTCTTGAGAAAACTAATGGGGAGAATGAAGATCAAAATATGCCTACAACTTATAAACAAATATAAAACAACTGTAGCTTTTAAGTCCTCCAAAGATCCTAAAGTTGCATTCACCTTGCTATTTCCGACTTTCATCTCGAAAAAAAATCCTTTTCTAAATTGCTGGTTTTTCTAGCAATACCAAAGTTATTCACTTTTGAATGATAAATAGACCGAAAACATCTTATTGAATTATTGAATTATTATAATTCTTATTGAATTATTGCTTTACAATTTCGAATTATTACCTGCCACAAAATAATTGCGTTCTCACGGGGTAGGCTGGTTCACATACCATCGATAATGTACGGACCGGGAGCAAGTCTGCTCGTAAAGCGGATCTGTTTGTGCCAATTTGCCAAAAATAAAAACCCTTATTTCAGAGGGTTGCAGACGTCCATAAAATGGGAAAAAGAAGAGTTTGTTGGAACATACAAGTTGAAAAGTTATTAAAAGAACAACTTTGTTGAAGAAAACGGGGAAATCAACTTTAACAAAGAAATTGAGATTCCCTTCCACACCGATGTTTTGCGGGATTGTACAGCTCGAAACTTGGTCTTTTCGAAAATTGATGACGTATGGCCACCGCGGAACGCATATGTAACACTATAAATTTGAGGTGAAAGGTCAAATCTTTCAATTTCCTCTCCCCATGGTTGCCATCCAGCCGCCTGCGGCGCCATTACTATGGCGAGTAGGTCACTGGAGAGATCTGTCTGGTGTATCAGTCACAAAGTGATGGGAAAAAAGTCAAGTTGTCCGATGCAATTTCGATCTGTTATGTATGAAGTGGCTTTCGGCTCGAAGAGGTGTTATTCACTCGATCACTGCACTGTGAGCTTTTGAACCACAGTAAAATAATTTTAAAAAGTTATCCGGCAGCTTACTTATTGAAACAGATTGGCGTTTTCAGGATACGATAGCAACAATGAATCAATTAATGCTGCGAATGCAAAAAAAGAAAAAAAAGAAAAGAAAAAGTGACCCTCCTTTGATAACGGCTTAAGAAAACGCGCACACATTGACATCCGATATACGGTAAAATTGAGGGGAAAAAAGGCCGATGCAATGCGTTGTTGGCGGCGAAACAATTATACGTCGACTCTGTTTCCTAATAAAATTAAAAAGTGTTCTTGACTTGCAAATCGGTGTTGTTGGTTCTTTGTGACCACGCTTTTGTCTCCGAGTTTGCAGGGCACAGCGCCAGAATACTAAATTACATATTAGTATATTCAGTTGGTAAATTTGGTCGTCGCCTCACAAGTATGACACACACACGTTGGGGGTCTATGCACGGACAGACAAATAAAACCGTCCCAATTTCAGTGCGGTTTTGCCTTTCAAACGACATAATGTGAAGAGCATCCATTACCGGGCTAACCGTACACTCCAACCATTTGTGATAATTGCCTATTCGACGGATGAATTACCTGAGCGGGGACTTGATGAGTGCCATCCCCAATTGGGATTGACATCGTCCCACTGGTCACCCCAGGACAAGAAACACCGGGTCTCGGAAAGAAAGAACACAAACTAGTGACGATGAGTGCTGCATCCATAATCCGCAGCGATACAAATTGAAACCTCATTGACCTCTGGTAATACTACTGGCTTTATTCAACCCACGGATCCTCGGGAAAACGATCCGTAGTAGATATGCACTTTGGAATTTCTGTCTTTTTTGAATAATGGCTCGTATTGGATGACTGAACTCCGGACGCGAGTCGATCCAAGTAGCTTTGAGCCTGCGTCCTGCGCCACAATGTTTGAACTAAAATCCGAGAGCCCACTAACCTACATAAGTGTGATTTCAGAGTGTCCAGTTTCATTTCGTAGCTGGCGGCTGTGAGTGAAAACATTCAGCGTGGGCAGCTGCTAACTGAAGCTGAGCAGAAAAGTACACAAGACACTGTATACATGATCAGAGGCATAGATTTTTTCCATTTTACCTCTCTAGTCTAGCACATGTATAGTCCCCATCCTCTGCACTTTTCTATAGGCCCTGTACTGCATCGTTGCAAACGACTCCCTATTGCTACTTCCGTATGCATCTAGGCTGGAGAGGAGTACCTACCTGCCTTGTCAATTAAGCCCTGTCAATCAACCTGGATCGGCAAATCCCTAATGGATCAGTTAAGGGCAGCGGTGAACGACTGCTGTTTGCACGGCTCGTCCCAGTCGGACAATGGGCATCAATTAGTACAGCATAAATCGGTGACCAATCAAATCAGTGCATGACGAATCACGTGGGGTCGGCGAAGACAGAATGGATCGAAACTCTCATCGATTCGTTTATGTACCAAAGATGATACAATTAGGCTACGGAGCCGCTGTATGCTTTGCTTCCGTGTGTGTCCGTGTGCTTGCGTTAGTACAGTGCAATATGAACTATGAGAACACTTTCTGGTCTTCAGTATCCGGGTTGAGATGAAGAAGTCCAGTCTGGAATACTTTCAGTGCAACCAGCACAGGAGTCTTGTTACCGGTTGCGATCGCTGTGGGACTGCCGATAAATTGGCCTCTGGAACTCTCAGGTTTGCTACACCAGTAGGCCTACATGGCCTGGAATACAATATTATGATTTGTGGAATGGAATGCTGATGGAATTGTAAACTGAGGAGGCAAAACCCAGTGGTGATGAATCTATCGAAAGATCATGCAATCCTGAAAATGTCAACGACTGTAACTTACAGCGTAAGGATGGAGATTGTGGAGTATTGCCTACATTGTTGAAGACGGTAATCTTAGATATAGAACTCGTAACTTTTAAACATAAGTCTACAGAAAATCCCTGCTTTAAATAACGGCACCGCTTTCCTTGACATTATCAGCGGATGCTTCATTTAAATGACAAGATGACAAGACGAGCTTGTGTTCAGCGAGCGATCCTTGGCACCGCAACTGCAGCATTTGCCCTTTGGATTATAGGTGCCGCCTTCCTGTTGTTGACCGCGGGCCGGTCACGTCCTGGTGTCACAGGCGAAGACACTGCAAGTAATCCAAACACGCGACTGCTGAGCCCAGTAGAGAAACGCCTAACTCACCTTGCTAACCTTGTGTCTGAACTACGACAGGAAATTGGTTACCGGAGGAGACGAGTTGCAGAGAGCGATGAGAAGCTAACCCGCCTCAAGGCGCAGTTAGACGGCCCGTTAGTAGACGCTCCTGCGGTGCGAGCTCCTCAACATTCAGCCGAACTCAACCCGAAGCGACATTTGATGGATGTGCACAACACCCTCGACCCAATTTCACCTGCGACGCACAAAACAACGCGGTCTACCCACAAGAGGGGTGAGACGGACAAAGGTGCTGAAACTCACGGGGCAAATGAGGCCGATTCCCCCACGCAAGATATTACCCTGAGCAACAAACTAGTCTACGGTTGTAAGGAAATTACAAGCATACCCCACTCGAACAAAGAATTGATAGGATCTGGGTTTACGAAGCAAGTACACAAGGCGTTGTTTGGAGGTAAACCTGTAGCGATAAAGACCCCTCTTACGAACGGACAAGACGTAACAGAGTGTATAAAGTATGGGATGGGTGTTGATGAGTGCTTCAGACTAGCAAACTTCAAGATGCTAAAGGAAATTGCGATGCTGCAACAACTTCAACATCCCAATATAATCAAGGTTGGTTGAAATCAGATAAAACCCCGTCATCACCCAACCCCTGTGATTTCGTTTTGATTTAAATATTTTTGTAAGAAAAGCATGTTCTGAAAACTATACTTTCTTGTTTACTGTAACTCTGAGTGTTGGACAAATCATGTAACTTTTATAGTTGCTTCAGTTCAAATACCGGTGAAACAAGCATAGTGTATAAACACAAAAGATCACAGTAGTGCTGCAAAAAATGCAGATCGAGTTTTCCTACTTTACTGTGCGGTTAGAAAAACGTGAAAAGGACATGCATTACAGAGAAAGAGAGTGAGAGAGAGTGCCGCGTGCCAAGGGTCACACGTGGTGGAAATAACGAACCAATTATACTACCGTAAAACAGCGATTACACTCATAAAACTCTATTAAGTGTTGAATTGATGGCTTGATTTAGGCAAATGTATATACACAGTTTTACCAATAAAATCTGCCCACATGAGTAAAAATATTTTTGTTCAGGTATTCTCCAAGAACAGCGATATACATTCAAAGTGCGTTTGCTTGCAGCGCTTTCAGATATAAAGTAATATTCCAGCTGATTAATGACACGTTTGTTAAATTGGACACACTACTTCAAATAAGTATTGGCGAGTGTAAGCGAAATTGTCATTATAGTCAAACGCCCAATTGTTTGATACCTAATAAAACAACAGAAGAACCTCGGCGAATCGTGCAATCATCAGTTTTCCATATAATGGAAAAATTAACGGTCGACCTCCGTACAAATATTTCCGTCTATATACTTTCCCATCAGTCAACATCTGGTTATGGTTGTGTACAATCTGACCTTATTATAAGAATATATTTTAAGAGATATCTGTTAATGATTGTTTTATACGAAAATGTTTACTTTTAATTAATACGCGGAAGAACTCTCTCGTGACACAGTCCAATTTAACCTTATAGGCAAACCATTCGTGGATCATTGATGATTCTTGCACAAAGGTTCTGGAGAAGACCTATTCCTTCAAAAAGTACTACATGTATTCGGAAAAACATACGAATTGAGAACAAAATCTTGTGATTCCAAAAAATGCATCCCCTATATGAAAACGGGCGCACAAAACGCGGACCTCAAATATTTATCAATCAGCAACTGCATATAACGACAGCTGTCTTTGAGTAATGGCCCTCTTTAAAATATCAGAATTCTTTCCTTTCTCCAGATTAACAGAGATTAATGGCGCAGTTAAAATGCGAGATAATAGACGTCGTATTTTTCTCTTCCGTTGGCAGGTTTTCCATTAGTATTTTGTGAGACTGTTTTACGAGTCTATAAATCTGACATGCGATCATGTGTACCGTCCGTGCTCCGTGGGCCGTAATTATAGTTGAAAATGTTGGAACTGAAATCTCGTCTCAGGTTTACTTTTTTCTTTAGTACTTTGAAGTATTTTTTTGCTGCATTTGATCGAATTGCGGTGCTTGACTTTGACGCTTTGCAGATGTCGAAAAACTACCAATGGTTATTGTTTTTTTCCCTTCAGAATACTGCATCTTTACAGGGTGAGTAAAGAAAAAGGATAACCCAAAATGTGCCCCCAATTTTCTTTTAAAGACGTTCTACATGTAGCGCTTTCCAGATCTAGTATATGAAAGCCCAAGTAATAAGTTTCTTTATGTGAAAGAATCATTCAAATCGCTCATATAGGCTACTTTTTCAGTTTTCCACTTTTTCAGAATTTTGAACACAAACACCGGTTTTTTTTTAAACCTTGCCCACGGATCACAACAAATGTAAGTGATATTTCAGCAAAACGAAAACTATTCACGTGTCGAAAAACACATCAGAACACTCTTATGACCATGATAACTGGCACTTATCATAACATTTATTTAAAAACCTTCTTCTTCCAATGTTAAAATAACATGATTTAAAATTTCAAGAGTTTATAGTCTTCTACTTGGCTATCCCGGATACCTACGGGATTATTCTGATATAATTTTCAGGATACGACATGGTTTCATGTTTACAGAAATATTACGTATGTGATCCGTGGACAAGGTTAAACGACAGTGTTTGTGTTCAAAATCTGGAAAAGTACATAAACGATTTGAACGATTCTTTCACTAAAAGAAAGCTTATTAATTGGGCTTTCATTTCCTAGATTTGGAAAACGCTACATGCATAAATTCTTTAAAAATAGGGGGCACCATTTGGGTTTCCTTTTTTTGACACCCTGTATGTTACAAATCTAGGTCATCTACGGGTTATTGTGATATTTCTTATAAGTCTTACTTTAAGTTTAATAGGCGATATGAATTTTGAAAATGCAGCCTTAAACTGAAAAGTACCAGCGTTTAGAAATTAAAAAAAGTACAGAAGATTATTGATAGAACTTCACATTTTACAAACTTATAGTCGTAACAAATGGTGCAGGATGACTCACAAAAGGGATGATCGACTCTTGAAACTGGGAAGTGCATCGGCGGGAAAGGGGAGAGAAATTACTGAGTTCTCAAAAATCTGCTCGCAGTAAATCATTCACAATTAGATTCAAATTAATTCTTGGTATATGTATAGGCCTTCTGAATTATCGGCCTTCGAAAATAATTATATGAGGCCTGTAAAACAAACGCTGTACCGTTTATCAAGTTTTTATCATTTTATTTGATATCTTGATTTTATTTCTCTAATTCATTTTTTTTATGTCACTTATGTTAGATGTAATTCATTCGATCATTTTGTCTATTGTGTACATTGGTGAAATGACCATCAGGAGATGAGTGACTTACAGAATACACAAATAAATTCACACACAATTAGTTTCTGCCCAGAATAAAGTCGACAACTCCAAGGTTGCTATTATCCTCATAAATTATGTTTCATGCGCTGAGAAAACTATTTAGAGTCCCAAACGGTAGTGCCGTTCAATCGAGTGTAAAACTGCAGCTTTTCGAGCAGTAAAGAATTAACATCGTGCCCTTATAAACATTCAGCATCCACATAAAGGTCATGCTTCGCGCTTTTAGAAATGTGTATCCACATTGTACGTTTCGCCGCAGAGCCCCGCTGGAAACTAGTATCGATAAACCGGTTTCGAGTGTCGATGTAACAAACGCTTCTGACTTCACTAAACTAAAGGCGATAGATACACCTTTCTCGGCACCCTCAAAAGGGGGATCGATACATATCGAATAAATGGAGGGGAAATCAGCGGCGTAGCCAGGGTTCTCATTCTAGTAAGGCGGGGGGGGGGGGGGGGGGCTGGATGTTACAGTGGAGGGGCGCCCAATTTCATCCGTGCTCAAAGGTATATTTTTTCACACCCCGTAGCGCCCCATGCCCCCGTAGCTACGCCGCTCGGGGATAGAATATGAGGACTGAATCGATTCCGTCTTGACAGCTGTCAATATCGATGGGTGCATCTGATCTAAGGGGCACAAGTTATCAGAAGTCGGAAGCCTGTTGGCTAAACATTGCCTGGAGAGGTGTCTTATCTGTCTCGTTTGTCACAGCATCAGAGATATGCTAAAAGATAAGGTTTTGCATTGTGAGTGTTATTAGTCATTGCATGGTTGAGCAACGTGTGTCCATGTCTTGCGTTATTACTGACAATGTTTACAAAAAAGGTGTTTTTCCGCGGGGCATATAGGGGCGGTTCGGGGGTCTGCTAGATGCATCACATAGTACATTTAGTTTGGCATCCAATATAGTAACACAGTTCCATTTAAACGGGAAAATCATGTTGCTGAGGCGCAAGTCTTGAGTCATCGAAGGCTATCCTTCACATGGGGATTCTTATTAAATTGATAGAATTAGTATCAAAGGCGTATTTGATAGCAAAAGCAAATCCGTTGAACAATGTTTGACAACTAAGGGGCCATTCAAAATCTTCAATGTTTTTAAATTTGGATTTTGTTTCCTAATTGTTTTGACCCACCCAGCCACCCCTATTTTCGCTTTACAAAATATGATTTGTTATATGTAGTATTAAAATTCCAAATACATGTACATGCACACACACGTTTGTTTATGGTGTAAATCGAGGATTTTCTATTGTTCCTCTTCCATTTTCTTTGTTTGTACCGTACTTTTTCGCAACAGCTCTCATTTGTTTGCACGTTTTCTAATCGAGGTCGTCCTCGATTTGGTTCCTGTCCTCAATTCACCGATGATGTTGCACGTGTTTGTCCTCGATTTACACCATTAACAAACCCTTGCATGCACACACATTTGTAAACAGCGGCAATCGTGGACCCCCTTGGTTTTGTACACGACTTTCAATCGAGGACTTTCGGTTAATCATGGACGTATTGATTGTGTCCTTTCCCTGTTGTTCTTGGTCTACGATTGCCGGTGTGTAAATACTCATGTACACACTGTACTGTACAGCAGGTCATTCTGTACGTCTGTACGTCTGTATTCGGGACGAAGTTGGAAAACAAACGCACGCAAGGAACACTGGTGTGTAGGCAAGTTAAAATATCTAGATTTTTGGTGAAAAATGAATTTGGATTTTCAATTATTTACCTTGACCCACCCACCCACAATTTGGAGAAAAAAAATCCAAACTTACAAACATCGAACATTTTGAATGGCCCCTATAACTCCTAAAAAAAGTTTCCAACACAATTCCAAATCATATATATTAACCTTCCGCTAAATAATACAGTTTAACAATATCAATCGATAGCACAGTTACTGATGTGCGTATATCAAACCAAGAACAACCGAGAACAATTGAGTCTCGCATTTGCGAAATCTCTCAAAAACTCAAAACTTGAGAGTCTAGTTCCGCAAACAAGGTCAACATCTGGCTACAATCTGAGGAACTCAACAAAATGAAATGAACTCAAGTGCAATACCTCCAGATTTAAGAACAGTCCTGTGCCACATCTGATCAATCTTTTGAACACAACTCAATAGATATATATTCATTTTGTCTTTGATAATTTTGCGGTACTGCAAAGCAATGAATGTCATTGCACTAAATTGTTTAGTCCTTCACTGTCAGAACTTTTGATATCATCACTCGCATAAAATTGTGAAGAAATTATGGAGAAATGAGAGCTCCCTCCATTACGTTTGGTGGGTAACGAAGTAGGCCTATCAGGTCAGTAACCTAGAAAAACACAAAACTGATCATAAACTATTTGTTTTGCGCGCCAATAACAGAAATTTAAAGAGTGTTATTAGATTATGGCATAGTAACTCTATGATTATGGGGAAGTAAATCAGAGCTGTACATGTTGGGGGCGCACGCAAATTGCCAAGGGGGCACTGTAAATTTAATCGGCGTGATCAAAGGACCGCAAATAAAATAGTCTCTGATGTTTGACCAAAGTGGCTTCTTAAAGAATGTCACATCTAAGGGGAAAAAAGCGACGAAAGAAAATTGCACACATATGAGAGACTTGAAAGATACGGATCATGAAAAAAGCTATTCAGATCACCCTTTTGCTACATTAGTGCCCCAATTTGTTGCCTTTTCTTTCGAGATGCGACAGGTTAATTCACTTCTACATAGAATTGATTGAGATGCACCTGTTTTCATGACAAGTGCTCGCATCTACTCCTTGACATCAGTTAAACCCGCCGGGTGTCGGCAACTATACTATATTCGGCCGTCTGAGTTAATCCATCACTCCTCAATGCTGAAAGAACTTTCTGTCCCTTTCAGTCGTGTGAAATACTACATTAGGCTGAGTATTGTGACTCAACCGAGCAAAGTAAATGGGTAACACTCCTCTTCCAAGTAGGCCGATTAGGCCTTCCGGGTGGTTGTTTTGTTCCGTGTTTTGTAAGCCGACGTAATTCAGTAGGCGGTCGCTGGCTTGAGCTTAACAAATACCGTGGGGAGGTTTTGCTACCGCCAGTACTGTGGCAGGGACGGCGCGTTTACTGTCTGGTGCGTTTGTATTTGGTGAACCACAATATTTTTTGCATTTGCAAACAGTGAAACCGTTTTGAAGGGCACTTCTGGGGATTTGGAATTCTTTGTGGGAGTAGTTTAACAGCCCACGGTGTTTGCTTTTTACAACCAGAAAGTGACGGGGAGCGGGCTTTCCTACCTCCATGGCCTAACAATTCAGAGAAGCCTCTTAAAGTGACGTTAATGTCCGAAGCCTAATAAGAGGCAGAACTTCAGATGGGTTTCCTTATTTTCAGCCAGCTAAAAACATGTTTGACATAACCGCAAAGTAAGCACCAAGGAAGAAGTATTACGGTTTAAGGGAGTAGGCCCTAATGTCTTTCATTTGAGATATGCAAATTTGTGTTTGTTTATGCTGGAAAAATAGTCTCTTACCGGTTTGCTGTAGGGCCAAGAAATTCCGCCGTAGGCGACATGAGTTTCGAATTATGAGACTTGCTTAACCATAGCACAGGGATGGATCTGGCTTTCACGAAACGGGGGTGGGGGGGGGGGGGGGCGAGGTGATATGAAAGGGCGGGTGGGGGTTGAGTGAAGGCGTGACGCACGCGCTGCTAGCGGGGTCCGGGGCTTGTTCCCTGAAAACTTGTTGAAATCTACGGTATTTTTTTCCTGCATTCGAAGGCAGTTGAAACTAAATTATCTTAGGAGCTTTCCGTTTACTATTTGTGGACCCATTTTACAAGTATCATAACGTTAGTGGGCGAATGAAGGGGGGGGAGGGGGGTTGCAAACCCCCCACCCCTCTAGATCCGCTACTGTAGCTTGACCAACCATTCCCAGCAATTATACTTTATCAATAACGTTATGACGAGGCTGAGTTGTAACACTAATTTTCGATAGACTATCATGATTCTTAAATTGTTTTGCTTTGAATTAATCCATTTTAATTGGAAATAATTCACTCAGGCTTATAATGAACAAAATAGCCGTATGATTTGTGCGTATTTGTTCGTCCAAAAGAAGGAGGTGTCTACGGCCCTGTCGTCCATGAAAGAAATATGTGGTTTTTCAGTTTGGTAATTCGAAGAAAAAATCGTTAACTAACTGAACTTCATAGAAGAACCGGATCTCAACGTTTAAGAACCACACAAAAGAAACCTTCTTTTCAATTTTTTTTTTAAAATGTGCCTACTCTCATCACTCCAGAATAACCATAAAATGGTACTAAAAATCATCGATGTCTTTAGCATCTTAGCCAACTGGAGCAATCCATATGTTGAATGAGAGGGGCAGGACGTGTAAAGTAAACCAACACACACCAAGCAAAATAAACTTGGCCTACAACAATTAGTCATGTGTCAACCGGATTGCATACCAAGTATTAAACAAGAAAACTTGACCTTCCTCTGGCATTCTGGTTGTCGAGCGCAAAACCTCAATATATATTACTGACATCGAAAGTCTGGAATGTTTATTTAAGCCGTAAGTTTTGAGCACTTATAAAATTCATGTAAAATTCTGCCAATTCGAAAAAAACCACCAAAAACGAGTAAATTTCGACTATTTTTCCTACTAGCCTGGATAAAAGGACTGAATGACCGTTGCCTGCGTGAATCTTGATAATTCTAATGTTATCGGTCATGATCGTCTTCGGTAAAAATAAATGTGAATGCACTGCATAGTTCCGTTACCTTAAAACGTGCCGACCCCTACACTGTTCTCTACCTGTAGTTTCCTTCTTTTCCAATAATGCGGATATATATAATCTTTAACAAGGGTAAAGGGAAACCTGCCTAGATGCCATGCATCTATTTACTATTGGCTGACTGCCGTCAGAATATCGATATTATAACCCTCATTGCTCCGTTGTTTACGCTACGGTGATTCGTCAGAAGAAACAAAATTGTTGAGTGGCCTAGAAATGCGGTTCCAGCACGTTTTTGCTGCCCCCAAAAGGGCCACATTTTTGTCCCCTCTGACTGAGTCACTGATTGACTGAGTCACTGAGTAAAATGATGGAAAGCTAATGTTCTATACGGAGGATTTCGGGCAAACTCCACTGGGCAAGTCTTGTCTTGTTTAACCAATACCTTGTAATTATTTTAATTATTATATTCAAAACGGTGATTCGTCAGAAGAAACAAAATTGCTGAGTGGTTTAGAAATGCAGTTCCAAGCACGTTTTGCTGCACCCAAAGGGCCACATTTTTGTCCCCTCTGACAGACTGAGTCACTGATTGACTGAGTCACTGCTCATGGTCTAAACTGAGGATTTCCGGAAAACTCGACTAGGCAATTAAGTCTCCTTCTTGTTTTTTTTTTACCAGTGCTATGAAAACATTTTAATTATTACATTCAAAACGAGATTATATTTGCTCTCCTTAGGATGAGTCAGGACCGGTAATTTTGAAACTGGTTAATAGATATGTAAACAATGTACTCCGTCAGATTTTGAGGACTGGGTAAAAAGCAACAATGTTTTGTAAATATCAAAGTATTTCATGTAGTTGGTTTTATACATTTAGTTTCCTTCCCAGATCGTCACAGTCAGAAATCTTTGATACCTTTGTCTCTAAAGGACTAAAGTGAACCCGCGCATAGCTGCAATCGGAGAGTTAAACGTACACAATTATACGTCTTTATTTTTATTTTGATTTTTATTTCTCTTTGTCCACAGATGTTAGGTTTCTGTTTGCCGGGACAGATCGATACCCATGATTCCTCACACACTACTACCATGATTACCGAGTATGGAGAGCCAATAACATTCTTGGATTTGTTGAAAATGTCCTGGGAGGACAGGCTAAGGGTGAGTGAAATAATAATGACGATTTAACAAAAGAAAAAAGAAAAAAGTCTCAAAAATGTAAAAAAAAAAAAAAAAAAAAAAAAAAAGGTTCTTTAGTAAAAAGGTCAAAGTATCCCATCGCATAACTTGTGGAAAGTTTCATCGCTGCAAGTGTTCAAAGATCTGATTTACTTTCAAGATCAAAGAAATAGCTCAGCCCAATTTTAATGATGCGATATCGCTGTCATCTGCAGACAGCGTGCAACTGTGGTATGTATCAGGACTCAGGAGGAGCCCAAGTTGCATTGGATAAAAGAAAAATAATATCTTTGTATGTCCATTCCGTGAAGTTCTTTGAGTTGAAAAACTAACTTATAAATGCAGGTTTTTATGGACTGGAACAAACGAGAAAGATGGTAATTGGCTGTAAGTGTGTGCATGAGTACCGCTGAGCAGAATGTCACAGTTCATCGGCTACTTATTAAATCCCATAATAATGAGAAAATGAGAAGACAAGAAATACAAATCCATAACCTGTCCCAAATAGAGACACAAGGTCATTGGTGCACACTTTTTCCTTCATAGTTTCCCCCTTTCAGTCTTGTCTATTTAATCAAATTGAGAAGAAGTTATTCACTGGAGTCTTACATCTATCTGTTGTCATTAGCTATCCAAAAAAATGCTTGTTCGTTAATGACAGAAAAAAAACCCAAATAAGTAGAGGGCGCTCGTAATGTAGAGAAGATGGAATATTTGACAAAGGATACCTTTGTGAAATTTGAAAAATGACTTGTCCCCGATCTTCTCACATGACCTTTTTGTTTTTTCAGTTTTGTGTTGTATCGTTTTTTTTCTAGATATCTCTTGGAGTGAGCCGTTTGTTGTTTAACCTTAGTAATTCTTCCGTTGGATCCCTAAGCATCCATGACTTCAAACCATCCCAGTTCGTTAGAGTGGACGGAGAGGTATGCTATTATAAATAGATTGTTAAAATTTAAAGTAAAATACTTCAGCTATACAATTAGAACAAAATAAAAGTGAAGGATGAACGTAAAAAAATCTCGCTGCCCCAGGTTTTTGCCATTTTTGGTCACGTTTTTGAAGTCCTGCTGGGTGGGGATTTTGGTCACTCGCAAACGTTTTTACCAATAGCACACAAGATGGAAAGGTAACCAGTTTAGTGCTCCCCAACCATGTATGTTGGAGATTGTCACTGAAATGTTGTCCCAGGGGTGGGGATTTTGTCACTTAAAAAGCGACAATCCCCATGTCTTGGGTGGGGCAACACGGGGGGTTGGGGGTTGGACACATATTTGATAAAAGTTAAACTTAATATTATTTTCTCTGATGTCTCAACCCGAACAAAGTCACATAGTCCATCTCATTCACTATCTTGGAATTCACCGCTGTTTGCACACCGCGACAATCGAGGCACAACCACCTGGCAGGAATCACATCCAATCAGAGTAGGAATTGAATTGTAAGATTTTCTCTGGTTGTTAGTCGTCCTGTGTTTTTTATGTTACGGCGGCTTTCGGTCCGGTCCCGCCCGAACGCAAGCGCGTGCTGCGCGATCGCGGTAGCATGTTTAAGACCTTGATGAATGGAAATCTTTCATTGGATGCAAGCAATTAACATAAGGGGGATACCAAAAGTAGATGAATCAATTTTAGAAAGAAAAAAATCTCCGAAAAATATTAAAATACCCACCCTCAGCTTATTTAAAAAAAAATAATAATAAGTGTGTTAAAAAACAACAAATCCCTGAAAAGTATTAATAAAAATACCCTCCCCAAAAAAAATTATCCCAAAAGAATTAGCCTAAAAAAAGCCGCATTTTTTGGAAAGTTGAAAATTAGAAAAATAAAAGAAAGTCGCCCCCACTTGACCTCAGATATACGTAAAATCCCCATTTTTTTTTTAAATGCATTATTCTTCCACCCATGCTCTAAATCCCAATTGTTTAACAAAAGTCACCCGTATTTCCCTCCAAAATCATTTAAGGTAACCAGGGCATTAACAATTCAACTCAGAACCACGCCCTATACTGTCCACATTGAATAAAAAATCGCTGGTATCCCCATCTGTACGTGCACACTGAATACAACTCTTCTGTCAGTCACCAACTAAGAATGTTAATGTACTTACGTGCGTGCCTTCGCTCACGATCATGACAGGTAGGTGACATTGCATCGGTTCAGTACGCGGGTGGTGACGATTCCGCTTGCCCCGTTGTTGGGTTGAAAGTCAGTTTATTTTTGTTTCTTTATTGTTCTCAATTACCATACAAGTTTTACTGTTACATACTGTCGTGACTTCATTTCTTATACATCACAATTTCATGGAGAGCATGTGGCCTATGCATTAGCTACATAAACGATCCATGATGCATGTCGGCGAGTGCGCGAAAATTGCCTGTCGCTTAAGACGAGGTGTCGCATAATACGAGATAATGTCATAAGTCCCAAGGACCTCGTATTAAATACGAGAGTCGACTGTAAATGTTGTGGACATTGCCTCATTGTCTTCAAAAATAAATCTTAAAGATTTGTTTTAGTGCAGTTGCATTTTTAGCAATTTCTTTTTGAACTCGCTACCTTTTTGCCATCTCGAATTTTAAGTTGCCATCTCGAATATTAAGTTGTCCCTAGTCTATGCTTAAAGCTTTAAGATTATTGAAAAATTTCTGTTCTATTTCAGATCAAGTTGGTTGATCTTGATGACGTGGATGACAAACCAACCACGTGCCGAACTCCTGTTGATTGCGCTCTTGACGGCAGCTCATCCACAGCCTATTTACCCTGTATAGCTGGAACCTGCCTTAATTACAGCGATAGAATGAATGTATACAGTGCATACAAAATCTTCTTTACGTTGTTACCGTACGAGACTCCTCCCAGTCTTCGAGTGGTGATTACCAATCTCGTTAACAAAACAGGTATGATTTAGCCTGTTAAGGTGTCATCTGTGACATGGTTTTATTAACACAACACAGTAACAATGACTTAGTATGAATGGTACTCACCAGTATCCCTGTAAAGCAAAAATGCGCACCTCAAAGATGGCAAAAGCTGTGAAGGATCAGGTAAAGATGCCCATAGAATTCTACACTAGGGATTCTTAAAAGATAATGCTTCAGTGCTTCAGAGCGTTGCATGAAATATTCTCCCCTTGTAAAATAAAAACGTTTTATGGTCACAGCGTCTTACAGTTAGGCTATACTCGTTGAACAAAAAGTATTATCTTCCCAAACTACCTACGTCACTTGAGTCGTAACGCCTGGGCACAATTAATACACAGTATGCATGCAATGATACATGTGGTATGTTTCGTTTTTGCAAGTGGAGTGGTGTGGTAAACAGCCATTCTATTTTGAAAATGAAAGATCCCGGTTTTGGCACTTCGAGTAGGACACTTAATTCCGCGTACACAAGATTGTCATGCGCACACGGAAATGCTGGCCAGACTCACTGGCTATCCAAAAAGAGCTCGGGAAATTAGTTTTGCTACCGGCGCCCTTTGATAAGGCGGTGCGATGGATGCAGACCAGTAACTCGGTATAAAATTGCCTATGCCAGCCAAATCACGATTTGCATGCCCTCAAATTTGTCTGTATAAAAGCATTTTGCGGGCCATGAACTTGAGGGTTTGTAAAAAAAAAAAGAAGGGTGGCGGCCGTGCACAGTACTGTGTGCTTGTATTTCTGTGAAATTTGGAAGAAATTGGGCCCTAAAAGCGCTCTATTTTGCAATAGAGCGTAGGCATCGTTTTTCAAAAATTGCGATGGGCTTCTTGACCATTTTTGGGGTGCTCATCTTCTGATGAAAATTTTTCCAAAAAAAAATCGGATTTCCTCCACCCCCCCAAAAAAAATTGAACAGAAAATTAAAGACGATGAAATAAGCTTTAATTTGATGCGTGTCTTGAACACCTCAGAGAGTTGTAAGTATTTTAAATAATGATTGTGGGAAGTGCGCGTAATTACCACAAAGGTTTGTGGCAGTGTGTTTACTGGTCTGTACCCTTTCTATGCTGAATCAAGACCGCCCTCAGTGCACGCACGCACTGGATGAAGGAACTCCATAACTATACACATGAGCAAAATTGGACTTTTATCTCCGATCTTTCGCGGCACGAACTGACTCATATTATGAAGCCCGGGAAGGGACAGGGTAGAATTTTTGGGGGGATTTGCTAATTCGTTCCAAAGAATTACTAATTCGTTCGCACGAATTGCTAATTCGTTCGCACGAATTGCTAATTCGTTCCCACGAATTACCAACTCGTTCCCACGAATTACTAACGCGTTCCAGGATGCACGAGTTAGCAATTCGTTCCCACGAATAAGGAAATCGTGCGAACGAAATAGCAATTCGTGCGAACGAAATAGCAATTCGTGCGAACGAGTTAGCAATTCGTGCGAACGAATTAGGAATTCGTGGGAACGAATTAGGAATTCGTGCGAACGAACTAGGAATTCGTGCGAACGAACTAGCAATTCGTGCGAACGAACTAGGAATTCGTGCGAACGAATTAGCAAATTCACCCAAAACAATTCCACCCTGTCCCTTCCCGGGCTTCATACTGTATGCATTCATGAATGATTATAATAATACATGTTAAACGTCTGTTATCTGATCTGTCAGGCGAGGCACTGATTGGTTCCGAAGAGACGTATCAGGAGCTGGAGCGAATCCTGCAATTATATCGCAGTGGCGCATACCTCAAGTATAAAGATGACGAAGAAGAGAGCTTTTATACAGGTATATAAAAAGAACATGTATGAGTTCCACATTTGCGATTTTTATACTAATGAAAATTACAACTAAATTAGCAGTATTGGAGGCCTATGTACAGCTGTTTTTGAGCTCAAATTGGCCGTAATTTTTAGGTTTTTACTGTTGCTCTGACAGGGTTAATCATTTTTCAATATATGACAATCATTTATTGAGTGAAACAAATATTTTCCGTCATTATTCGTACAGGAAACCCCTAACTTGCATATTTAAAGTGAGTGTTTAGCGTGTGTTATTTTATCCCTATTTCTCTCAGGTACAGGAAACGCTTATGAAATATTTGCTGATATCGACTTGCCACATCAAGGTGATTTCTGGTGCACTTCATCCCTACAAATGGGGGGCCCGAGCTGTGTCCTGACAGCCTTCGATGAAAACGAGGCTAAACATCTATGCGATCAAGAGGAACAGTGTACAGCATTCATCATGACGTCACAGAAAACATGGACAGGTAATGACCTGAAACGCATGGATGTATCCAAAACAGTGTGTTTAGAAAGTATATCATCGGCCAATTTTTCCAGTAATTTGGGTCCTTTACCTCCGAGTGACATGGAACCTATTCTTAGAATTATCTTCAAGTTGATCTTCTGAAGTCTTATTGGTGATTGGATTTGAAGATTTTCATTTTGATTGAAGACACGCTAGCAAACCAAATCACGCCTTACTACCGTTTGTGCACCCTCTGCATGCATCAGGGCCATACCCCAATGAGCTATGTTTAATCAGGATTATGCCGAATTCTCATCCAATTCAGGAGGTTGACGCCAAGTTATAATTCCATTGGTGACCTCTTCGTCTGTTAACCATACATCAGATAGGGGGTCAGATTTAGGTTGAAATGTAACAAACATCAGAACTTATTTGAAACGGTACTCATAGAAATCGAGGTCCCATAGCTATGGGACCTCGATAAGCCTAGCCTTGGTCAAGGCGTTCGGCATATCCATCCGTACGGTATTCGACGGCATATACTCGCTGGCTGTGCTATGTAAAAAAAAAAATATAGTGTAAAAAAATAAAGCGACCTCATGCGGCCACTATTTTATATGTGCAAATCATTTGGATCTGATCGAACGCCTTGGTCCAATCGCCGGCGAAAGCTTACGTTTTTCTTTATTTTGCGCTGGATTTCTCGTGCACGACCTCATATGCGGATACAGATTAGTGTAGGCGGGGCTAATAATATGCGGAGTGTCCAATCACACCTTGGTTTATCCCGACGTCATCAAATTTATTATTTGCAGCTATTCGCCTTCAGTTGCGGACGTGTCAGAAACCACATTTTTGTGTGCATTGGTGCTGTGTAAGACACAACGTGTGTGTATTATGTACAAGTGTCACACGTTATCGCTATAGGACCTTTCACCGCTATGCAATTGCAAGTTTCCACGCAACGATCGACCAATAAGAAAACGACTTTCAAGGTCAGCTTAGGCTATTAGCATAATGAGTACCACCCCCAAACCTCACATGGACGATTGTACCAAGGAGTTAGTCTAGATCAAATGATTTGCATATAAATAGTGGCCACATGAGGTCGCTGTTCGCGCTGTATTTTTGCATGCACTGCATAGCGATCAGTCAGCGCGCGGCAAGGATATGCCGCCGAGTACCGTACGGACAGATGATGACGAACGCCTTGACCAAGGTTACGATAGGCCTAGAGTTGTGTAGGCGTTTCCTAACATTATAATCCAATTTATTTCAGGTCGGACGGTTATCTATTTGAAGAGAGGAACTGGTCACCAGCCAATTTATAGCCCAGGAAATACGCTGTACTATCAACTGACGTGAAACCAAATCTCCCGAGACGGCATTTAGTGTCTAAACGAGAAGTGAACTGCCAAGAGTCGATGAGGCTGGAATCGTGAAATATCATCTGGCCAATACTTAAATTTAAAGAGGGAACATAAATCATTGCAGATTACTCTCCGCGTTTAGAGCAATTCGATGAAGCCAGTCTTGATATCAGTCCTGGTAAAACTAACTCTTTATCGAGGGTTCTTAATCTAACAGCAAGACATTTTCAGCATAGCATATAGCTATCTCTACATGACGTATTTCAACACTGTGTGTATTACTCTACTATACACTGCGTCGGTTAAGATTAAAAGGTGGATGGTATTTGTAATAAGGTTGAACAATTCCCTCGTGGCAATTGATGAATACCAGTAAAATGTAGGCTTAATAAATGAAACGCCGAAGCTATGCATGGGACGGAGAGAGGGTCTTTCACAAAAAATAAAACTGCTACCTGTTATTAACATCAACGCGAGCAAAGATCAACACAATGATGTCATAGTTATGAGTGTGCTGCATTTTCGTCTCAATATGCATGAAACAACTCGGTCAGGCGTATACGCACAAAGAGTTGTTTTTAATAGACTGACTGGACACAAGATAAAACATGACATTGTTATTAAAACCACTAAAGAATTAAAGTTGAGTTAATGACTTAAAAATACATTTATACATTGTAAGGTAATTTCTTAAAATTACAAACGCTAAGAAAAGCTTCTTTTGGTTGAAGATCAAACTCAATCACAACAATTCTGCTTCCAGTCTGAGACCTTTGAAAAACTTCGGTCTCATTATCGTAAGTAATTTAATTAAACAGAATACACGGATCCCTGTTGAGGCCTGTGTCTCCCAATTTGTCGCAGCTCAGAATTCGAAACGACGAAATTTGTAAAATAGACAATTTTAACTGAGGCTCCGAATTCCAAATTTCCCTATGGCCGTCTGGAACGAGTAAGAGACCTCAGTGGAGATTACCACGTACATGTACATTTTCTCTTGTGAAAAGATATCCTTGTAAAAAATTAATGTACTTGCAAAACTGCCCACATTCATGGGCGTCGTCAGGATATTAATTCGGGGAGGGGGGGGGGGGGGGAAGCACATTATTTTCAAAAGTCCTTGTACTTTCTCTACCTTATTCTTAATTTATCATTGTTTTCGTGGGTTCGCGCGGGGCGCGCGGGGGGAGGGACATTTGCCCGCCCCAGCCCCGTCGACACCCCTGCGGACGCCCGTGTTGTTAAATGTGCATAAAATTAATAACAGCAATATGACTTTGCACCTCGTCTTCTTTTCCCCCTTCTTCTTATGTCTCTCTCTCTTTTTTGGTTGTGTGTCCTGGCGACGTCCATGCCCACATAACATTGCAATGTAGCCGTTAAGTCAAAGTCATCACCTCATTCTGTCTGTTAAAGCAGCTGTTGGGTTACAAACAAGGTTTTATGGTTTTTTTTTTAAAAATAAATGATAACATGTATATCGTGTTTAGACTATACACATGTATTTGCCTTTTGTGATATAATTTATGGGTGTTATAATTTGCCATCGGCGGGGTGAGAAACATTACACTGAATCTGAACTTGCACTTTTAGCAAAACCAGTTTCTTCAGTTTAGTGGGTTAATTGTTGGTACTATGCCCATTCGCTGATCAAATGTTAATAATTTGAATTCTTCGGATTTGTGAAGAATTCAGTATTTAGGGGGTCGACCATCAGAACAAATGCAGTGATACACGTGCAATTGACATTATTTGGTCTTCGTACTTGAATACAGTGAGAAATTGATTCAGAAAGAGCCGACTAGGCTCTTTCATTGCTGAAAGGCGTATCTTGAAAATATAATACATTTTACGCAAAATGTGATTACTGAAGTTCAAGGTCTTCTATTTTTTTCTCTTTATCTGTCAGATGAATCACTTTTCTTCCACAGGTTGCATGAATATTGTAAATACACTATGCAAACTGGTTTCTAGTCATAGTTTTTAAGAAAAAAAGGATTTTATAACAGGTTCCACCATTCTACCAATACCACAAACATAACCCGAGGTTATTTCGAAAAAAACCAATGCATCTTGAGCTAATGCCGCCATGCAATTTGCAGTATAACGGCACTTTGACTTGAACACAAATCATTGTTTAACCAGATGGCAAAAGGACGTTATTAACTTGAATATTTACGCCCTGTTACCTCGTCACATCATGCACAAACAGGATGCATCTCGATATACGCCCCTTGTCAGAGAAACTGAATAAAACATAAGCAATTTTGCACGAGATACGTCCTGCTTTATTTGTAACCGTACGGATGGCCGTATGGATGTGAGTGTTTGTTAAATGGAAACGGCCGCGCAACCAATAACTTCCCCCAAAGTGACTTTATCTTAAATACAAGTTACGCCCTTTTGCCTCGACAGGCTTCCCATAAGGGATGAGATAAAAAGGGATGAACGCCAACGAATAGTAATTTGTAACTAAACACTAAAACACTTAAACAGCTGTTTGAAAGGACCGGCTTATGCTCTTCACATCCATCGCTATATGGCCTCTGAATTAAGAAAAAGTCATCAGGTCGCAACATGCTCAAACAAAAGTCGTCATCCCACTAATGGAATCATACAGCTTTTGAAGATCTTGTTTGAGGTGTTCGAAGTTCTGTACACTTTTTTTCTCAATAAACTAGAAATTACAAAAGTTGTCAGTTGCAATATGCGTAGTACGCGGTCTTCGCTCTTCAACAAACGTTCAGAACATCCAACAATAAATTTGAAGTATACTCGCTGAGAAAAACAACAATACGTAGCTGCAGAAGTGCTGCTTGCTAAATTGCTAGTCAATGCCAAGTAAAATCACAAAACAGTTGCTTAAGCCCGCGTCTGAAGGACCTGTATTTAATGGAGTAGATGAGGGGATTAACACACGAATTACTAGCCACCAGAAGCACTGATATGCGGAGTGGTTGCCCAGTGGTGCCCAAGGCAGACATTATCTCATTGGGTAACCAGCACACGATGTAGACAGCGAAGACAAGTGTTAAGGTTCGGATGACATTTCGTCTAGCACGAAGACACGGGTGTTCTTGTAGTCGGCCCGTTGCTGTCTGTCTTGGGAGGATTGTATCTGTCCGAATTCTTAGACGGGCGCTCCGTTTCAATACGACAGAGATGTGAATGTAAGCCAGTAACATCGTGGCGGCGGTGGTTGTGAAATAGACGAGATACAAAGCGAATATGAATCCATGTACAGGATCCGATGTCGGAGACAACGTGGTGTATCGACATCGATTCTCAACTTCCGAATAATCGACCAGAGAGATGCTTGTGATGCATCCAAGACCAATACCGATAATCCACGTTAAGGCTACGGCGATGGCAGGTGGCCGTCTTGTCGATGTCATCTTACGGTACCTTAAGGGAAACACGATGGCTAGGTATCGCTCTAAGGTCAAAGCGGCCAGACTGATGGACGATGTGTTCATAAATAGCCATAGGGTGGTTTCAGATACCCACATGTAACAGAGTAGCAAGCCTGGCATCCCAGAAGGTAACGGATCAGAGATTGGTAAGATGGCATACAGCAACAGCGCTAAGGAGCAAAGCAAATCAGCAACTGCTTGGTTGAAAATGAAGACATCGGTTAATGTATGTAGGTTTTGTATACGCCAAACCACCAAGCAGACAACTGTATTACCAGCAATGCCTACTACTCCGATGATTATTGAAAGAATGTTTAGAATCTCCATCTTGCTTAGGACTCTTTCGACGTTGCGAGGCAAAGACAACTCCACTCTACCCCACAGCTCTAAACAATGTCACGCGATCGCGTCATGGATACAGGTTCACTGCACGCAGCGAGTACAGAGAACAAAAACAGTGCAGAGTTAAGGATGGCATGTGATTGCTACACATTCAGCGACATTATCTCGATATGTTTACATGAGACGCTGCGTATTCCTCCATTAAGATTCGTCTGTAAATCAATTGGCACTAACATGGAAGAAGCTATATCATTTCCTGTTTGCCGCCAACATGAGGGAAAACGTGATTGATTTTGTAACAAGAGAGGTTTTTGTAATGCAGGTCTTAAACCCCGAAGGGGTTGGACGTAATTAGGGATTTCAATCATGGGCCTGTGTGTCGTAAATACAATGATTTCGATGCGACTCGGAAACTGTTGGTTTTTTTTCAGCGCAAAACCAGTCGATTCGACTACTCACAGTCATTAATACAACGGTACAAGCGTGGCGGTAATAATATTATGGTAACGTGATATAATGACACGCTAAGAAGTGAGGGCCGTAGATGCCAACAGTACGCATAGAAGTTAGTTAATGTTTTTCTTTAATAAATCAACTCCAACAATATATATCTTGGCTAGACTTGAAAATCTGTTAACATTGCCCAATTGCCACGGAATAAAAAGTTAAACATTACTCACCCCCCCCCACCCCCACAAAAAACTCCTTGTATACCTATATGTACCTTCTAAAAAACATGCACCTTTTCAAAACGCCTTAGATATTAAGGGATCGAGGGTAAAACAAGCATCTAAAAATAAAAAGACCAGTATTTTTTTGTTATCAGGAATAGTAATTATTGTATAAAGTGAAATGTAATATTTCGCCTCTTTTGGGATACCACTTACTACTTGGGAGTCAACTGCCAGCAACCGTCTCTATTGGCGCTCTGCTGTCTACAACGGTTTATCCTCCTCAAGACAACTTTATATTGATGATTGTGAGAGACGTCGTCTCCATCGTCGTTTGCGACGGGATGGGCCATGATGATGATGTAGCTTTAATTCATAATTCGTGTGATAAGGCCAAAGAAAGTCTCCGGCTTCTGGTATGCGCGCGCGTCGCCGTAGCCATGCGCGTCGACAAAATGAAAAAGTTTTTTTTTTCAATGAAAGATGATGTCTTAAAACCGCCAAACTCACTGGTTTGACTGGAATCATGCTGCTGCAAAATTTTAACGTGTTTTTAGATTGGATTATGGTCGAGAATAAGCTTTATGTGGCCTCTCTGGACTCCCATATTGCACTAAGTTTAGTCGGGCACCATTTGCAGTCATCAGCCTACATTTGAAGCAAAAAAATCAGGTACAAAAAAAAAAAAAGCCGCGTCGCCGCACCACTTTTTGGGCAAGCTCCATACCAGAAACCGGAGACTTTTTTTTTGGCCTTAGAAGACAAACGAAGGACGCTCACAGGGGGAACGGAATGATAGAAACGCGTTAAAGGGAATGAAACGAACTCCAGTGATGTGCACTGAATGAGACACAATAGCATGAATCTGGCAAAGGGACAGAGACAATGAGCATACAGGATGGAATAATACTTTATTTATTCAGATTAATTGGTAAAAACACCTGTCTCCCAAAATACAACTATCCAATTAAAAGTAGTATACCAAATTTGATTAAAAACCGTCCAACAGAGTAAAAATACATTAACAACAATAATTCCCTTAATTACAATAATTCCCTGAATAATATGAAAAATCTGTGCGACAATTAGGCCTACATGTAGTCTTGTATATTATAATTATTTTGAGTTGCATTATAACAGTGTGTTAATTATCTCAAATTTCTGAAAGATTAACGAAATACAAAGCCAATTGCAAGACTGAGCAGGAAAATATATACAAGAAAAACTGCATAGTTATATTTCTACAGAAATTCTATTGATAGAGGATAGTCGTTGTGTTTTCCAAGCTTTTGATAGCATTTTTGAATACAACCGTTGAATGTCAATAAATCGAAAAATAAAAGTTTTGAATTTATGGAACGGAGCAGCTTTTTGTGCATTTTCACTTTGACGTCGGCCATGATGACATTTCATGCCAGATTGACTTATTCCTTAAACTTGAGCAGCCTTCGTATTTCTTAGACCTCATGGGTAGACTCTTTGCGTATAGCGGCCATCTTATAGGGCATCCTTCGTTATTTAATTCAGTAACAATGAGTGCTTAAAAGGTTTATTTCTGGTATGTCACAGCAAGACAAATGTATTGCCTTGATGACTGCTACCTATAAGGTCCATATACGCCTTTTTTGAAATAATGTGGGCAAGAGAGAGCGCCTTTTTTCAGTGGGTGACCTCTCTTGTATATTCACCCCGCAAATGTATTATATTATGTTATTCATTTAAAAAACATTATTTCATTGAAAATAAAACATGACAAAAAAAGGAGCCAGCCGACAGGTTGCTTGTATGAGGCTGCATCCTAAGGCAAAAAAAAAGTCTCCGGTTTCTGGTATGCGCGCGCGTCGCCGTTGCCATGCGCGTCGGCAAAATGAAAACGTTTTTTTTTTCAATGAAAGATGATGTCTCAAAACCGCCAAACTCACTGGTGTGACTGGAATTATGCTGCTGCACAATTTTAACGTGTTTTTAGATTGGGTTATGGTCGAGAATAAGCTTTATGTGGCCTTTCTGGACTCCCATATATTTGCACTAAGTTTAGTCGGGCACCATTTGCAGTCATCAGCCGACAGTGGAACCCAAAAAAAATCGGGTAAAAAAAAAAAAAGCCGCGTCGCCGCACCACTTTTTGGGCAAGCTCCATACCAGAAACCGGAGACTTTTTTTTTTGGCCTAAGGAATCACTTTTTTCTCATTGAGATACCCATACCTCTAATAACTCAAATAATCTTTTATTCAAGAGCTTCAAAAACGAATTATCCTACACATGAATAATTTTTAAAATGTAGACAGTTCAAACGGCTTTTTCGTTGGTGACCAGTGGATACTGTTTAGATTAAAAACTGATTTGATGAAATTCGAGTTCAAATCTGAACACATATTCAGTAGTTACTGATATTCCAAGTTGTGGAATTATTCATATTCAATTAAATAATCCATTTCATTTGTGTCTCGAAATGGCTTTCGTAAACGTCTCTGGTAATTCACAGGTTCACAGGTTCCTCAACCTTATGGTATATAAACCACATATATTTGGATCATTATTGTCTCATTTTGATCATTATTTGTCATCATTGTCTCTAGATTTGTACATATTTGTAAAGAATAATCGACGCCTGTAAATATACAACACGAATGTGTACACATTAAATAACTTTTCATGAAAATATTCTTTGAAGTGTTCGCACGATGATAATGACTATTTCATAATTTGTAATGTATGCAGGGCTACAATAGAAACCAGTTTTAAACTGTTCGGGCATAACCATGGAAAAGAAATGGAAAACATAAAAAATGGCACCGACTAGCTTGAACCCAAACCAAAAGCTGGAGAAACTATTCGCGGAAGTTTCTAGTTCCAACCGAGATCTGAATTATACGATGCTCGTGACCTTTTTGCCTCATATAGATTAGAGTCTAATGAATGGAGTGCAGGATTCAGGTTTTAATGCTAAAAACAAAACAAAGAAAAACAAGCAGGATATTTCAGTTTATAACACCTCACCCACAGATTCTGTGTCTTGATTGGCCGAGAGCGAGTCACATGATACTTTCTATTTTTGCTATCTTTCTGTGCACGGCCAAAAGTACTATACCCGTAGCAACCAAAGTACTATACCATTAGCAACCAAAGTACTATTTTAACGGCTCGGTATTTGTGTGCAAATGCACATGCATGCTGGTGTGCGCGTTGCGCGTTTTGTTCCAAAGAGAGCGCGCCACAGAGTTGGGTTCAAACATTTCGCGAAGGGGTAGTTTGGAAGAGAGAAATACATTTTCCACCAATTTTGTATTGAAATTGAAGTTTATTTCAATTGTGTTCAGATTTAAATAATTCAAAATATTAAAACCAAGCAGAATCTGTAGTTGAAGTGTTATAAAACAAATATTGAATGCATAATCTCGTGATGAAGTAAAACTAGCCTCCCTCGGTGATCCATGGACCATTTTATTTTCCCTCGGCTTCGCCTCGGGAAAATAGAATGTCCATGGATCACCTCGGGAGGCTAGTTTTACTACACCACTCGAAGCATTCAATATTTGTATAATAGTTGTGATGGCACCGCAGAGACTTTAAAGGATAAATTCAGTATGTACACCAATGTAGAGATATCAGTCCTCACAACAGCGATTCAGGAGGCGTTCAACCGCAAGCGTCACAGCGACCACGCCTGAAAGTCCGCCGAGAATCAGAAAGGACAACTCGAAGCTTCCGGTAGATTCATAGACGAAACCTGCCCAAGGGAGCAAGAAAAAAAAGAAAGGGAAAATCAAGTAAAACTGTGATGGCTTGAGACGTAAGTAGGGGAGGGAGCCAGCAATGTGTCCATTCACACTGTACACTTTTAGACGTATGCCGGTCTAATCAATTGTTTGTATCTTGTATAAACCTAGATTTTGCAGAGTTGACAATAAAAGTACAACTCACTTTCTAGTCATGTCACAATTGATAGATTGAATATTGAGAAAGGAATACCACTGAAATACCTCATTTGAATAGTTTGCTACTTGATTTGACACTAGATGACCTGTGAACCGAGATGACTCTATTAAAAACTCTGGCAAATATAAGTCTTCTTTTGTACAGGGTGTACAAAAAAAAAGTAATTCAAAAATAATGGGTTAGTATGCAAAGGATAACTTTCCATTTGATACCTGATTTGCACCTCTGCAGTCAGGGTGACCGTGGACCACTGATTTCAAAACAAAGGCCAAAAGCTCACTTTTTCAAATTTCGCCTGATTACGTGGTTGCCGTCGCAGTGGAATAGGGAGGCAGACAAGGTGAAGGTGTTGGAGAATACATGGAATATCGTGATTAACATTTCTAAGAAATGATATTATTATTTATTTATTAAAGTATTGACTATTTCCAATGCAATAACTGTGCCAAAGACTTTGCCGGTGCCCACTGTAAACTATGTTTAAAAGCAGTTTGTCGTAGGATAGCTAATTTAAGATCAAAATCTTGGAATGATATGTTTTATCATTTTATGCAACATCTTCAACAGACCCCTTTCAACGCACTGTCCCCTGCGAAGGCGCATTCTTTTGACAGCTTCACTCAGCACTTATTCAGTAAACTTTGAAAGGAGGTTTTTGGCCTTTGTTTTCCTGTGAATGGTGCTCGATAATCCGTGACAGTACAGATGCAAATAAGGTTTCTATGGAAAGTCGATGGAATCACTTTTAAATCACTTTTAAATGAACAGTGTTCAATTTATAACTTTTACATATTAACAATTAATATTAAGATTTTTTAATGTACTTTGTATTTTTTTCCTTGGAGGCCTTTTCCGTTAAACAGTGCAAGTTTCTCTGAGAATAGTCCTGCTGCAAGGAGATATATACCCCCAGATAAATGTATTAAGTGAATGTGTTTCATGAGCAATTTTGTGTTGTAAATGCTTTAAATCTGCACCGTAAAACCTCCGCTCGCAGGAAGGTGTAAACTGTGATGAGTATGTTGGCCCTAGCAGAGCAGGGGCGGAACCGTGAAAGTGTAAGAGGTTAAGTGCTGTGGTACGAAAGTCGCTAGACGTTGCATGCATGATGAAGAGTCAATAGGTAAGGGGTTGGTGGTATCACAATGTCTTTTGCGAGTTTGTGTGGTTCCGGAAAGAATCTGGT